CTAAGTTCATCAGCTTGCATTTGAGGTAGCCGATAGAGACACAACCTCACCGGAAGATCACCCTGGTGCGACAGGAGGCATGGGTGGCAAAGCCCCCAGGGGAGGTGATTCTGAGCATGGTGGAGGGGCTGCCGACGTCCATGTAGGAAATATGAACCAAATCCACAGACACCTGCACACAGGCCCGGTGAACAAAATGTTTACTTCATGCATCGTATTGTCAAGGCAGAAAAGTTTCATGATAAGAAGGAAGTCATGAAGCAGGCCACCACAGTGTCACAGAGGTACAAATGGATGTCATCTGAGTAACTGTCATGATCAGCCCAAGGTAAAAAGTACCGCATGCCAACTGAGCACACACCCTCTTGTTCCCCAGGACTATGTTCCAGAGGAATTTCCAGGCCACTGCACAACAGATGACAAACAAGATGTCAAAGACCAAAACTACCTAATTTTGAGCTGTGAGACTAGAGAGTGCCATGGAATAGTGACCAGGGTGTATGGTCTCTGGAGTAGTGAACACATCAGGAAATGGTACATGGCTAAGGTGGGTGACAGCCATAAGGACGGCATTCCCTGCTGAAATTAACATGGGAATGACATCACTGAAGTCAGCAAGGCAAACGCTTCCAGCTTCTGGGGAGTTCTTTCTCTGTACTCTGAAGTTTCAGGGATTTAGTGAGAAAATTCTTGTTCTGGCATGAACAAACACGGTTTGTTCTGGTCATGGGCACAAACACGGCCAAGAGAAAGGCAGGATGATGAGAGTGGAACAATACCTCTTCCAGCAACACAAGTGAGAAACTGATCCTGCTTCCTCAGTGCATGTGTTCCTGCCTCTGTAGACTGAGAAATATTGCACAGCTCCTCCCCCATATGCTGGTGTCACAAAGGGATTCTGAACCACAAGGAGATAGCTGTGATCAGGGGGGTTCCAATGAATAATGATTTTGATGAAAGTATTTCATAATGTATATGAAAACACTACACTGTACCCCATGTTTGCATTAATGTATACAGCTATCATTTAATAAAAAATAAAATAAAATAAAAATTTTAAATTTAGGCTTGGTGCCCATAGCACAATGGTGATGGCACCAGCCAAATACATGGAGGGTGGTGGGTTCAAAGCTGGCCTGGCCCAGCTAAACAATGACAATTACAACCGAAAAAAAAAAAAAATAGCCAGGTGTTATGGCGGGCACCTGTAGTCCAAGCTACTAGCAAGGCTGAGGCAAGAGAATTGCTTAAGCCCAAGAGTTTGAGGTTGCTGTGAGCTGTGATGCCGCGGCATTCTACCCAGGGTGACAGCTTGAGACTCTGTCTCAAAAAAAAAAAGGATTTATATTTAAATAAAGATAGATTTTAAAAAATTCATCTCAATAAGGAAGGCCAAATTTTATAAAACTAAAGATGAAGGGTGTGAAAAGAAGTATAATAGTGTGAAGATGCCCAGAAGGTTAAAGTCTGAGACACAGATAGGGTGACATTCTAGAGGGTAGTTTCAGGTGAATTGTGAAGAATTCAGCAAGGTGACATGGTCAGATGTCTCACTCCACCCAAAATAGATGATAACTAGCAGGGATTTTCTTTTCTAAATGAACCCTGAAGTTAGGAATAGTGAAATGAGATCCAGGGGGGACTCCTGAGTATCGACAGGAGCTGGAAAGTGACCGTCTGGTTTGCGAAGCTGCCAGGATTGGGAAGGGGAGGTAGGAGGCTGCAGCAGGAGCTTGGCATTTAGAGTGTGGAAAAGCTACTTTGGTAGAAAGGTCAGTAAGAATCTCAGGTGGACGTTGATAGTTCTCTGTTGTTGTGTGAAATGTTACAGGGTGGGAAACAGAGACACAATAGCCACTCTGTCAAGAAAAGGTAATCTATAATTGATGTGGGAAATATTCATTAGATCCTGATTCTGCCATTGAGAATCTTGTTTCCATCCTTCTGTTCTTTGACAGAATTACTAAACCTTTAGAAACAGACTCTCTTCCTCCTTTCTCCATCAATCCCTGAAACTTGGCTTCTGCCATACTCACTTTATGAAAATTGCTCTTTCAAAGGTCACCAATAAAGTTTTTATTGCTACATCCAGCATCCACCTTAGATTTTTCTGATGCATTTAACACCACTGGGTACCACTCCTTGGATGCTTAGGCTAACTTGAATCCCAGGACACCACACACACTATCTTTCTCTCTGTCACTCATTGTTTTTTGTCTCCTCACCTCCTTCCTCCACGGCAACACTCTTCTCTTTCCTCCAGGCCTATGAGCGCAAGTATTCCCTTAGATCAGTGCTTGGCTCCTGACCTTTTCTCTCTTCTCTCTTCTGCTGAGTCTTTTTGTTTCGTCATCCCTTATATGTTGGTTCCTCTGAAACCTGCATTTCTAATTCCAAGCCGCAATCACATATTTCAAATTCTCCACTGGCTATTTATGTGTGTAGGTCATACTAAATTTTCACTCAGTTTTCACTTCAAAAGTCCCTAAAGCTCAGAATGTTCTCTTCCAAGGCCTGAGAAACGTTCTAGAGAAAGAAACAAAGGGATAGAATCAGGCTCCACCTTTTCTCTATTTTTTCCATTCTGCTATGGGCCCTATTTTCCAATCAGCATTTCCTCTTCACAGTGTGTGAACACAACATTTGCCTGTCCAAATGCCAACACTGGCCTTTGGGCCCTCTAGCTGTGCCAGTCCCCTTACCTCCAGTCTCTCCAGGCTCACTCACACCTCAGGCCAGCTCTGTGGATTCATCTCCCATTGGCAAAGACTCTCTTCTGCATTAATCTCCAAACAATTTTTTGTTGACAGAATGCTAATATATTAATTTACGATGAAAACTAGAAGCATCTGGTGAGCCCTATGTTCTCTGAATTTTATGGCACTCATTAATTAACATCTGGAAATGTTAGGGAATTGCATAGTCCCTGGGTTCTCAGTAAAGGTTACCTGCCAGCTCCTACTTCCAGCATTATCTGCTCATATTACTCGGTTATGTTCTACTTTTCATTGCTATTAAACTGTTTCATGTAAAAAATTCTCACCCTATGTGAGTCCTCTGATTCTGCAAATATGTAACAGGCTCCTGTTGGTATTAAAGAAAAAGCGTTAGATAAAGTGGGGAACCTAAACCTGAGTAAGACCTAATACCCAGCTTCAATCTAGATGGGACAAAAGATAAATACACTAATATCTATAATATGCAATAGACAATGGTAATAGCTTTAAAAAGCTCCAAAATGATATCAATAATAACCATCATCCAGGCTCTATTTTATATACTTTATGCATATAATGATATTTTATTTTTCTTTGCAAAAACTCTAGAAGGTAGACAATGTTATGTTTTACAGAGAAGACTAAAGTCCAGAGAGGTTCTAGTGACATATATAATAGTCAACCACCAGTATGTGGCAGGACCAGACCTCTACTCCAAAGTCTTTGATCTTAACCTTATAGGGAGTTCAAAAGAGATGAAAATAATTTCTAGTTGGGACATCAGAAAAGCCTTCACGAAACAAATCATTTTTGAGATTAATTTTGAAAAATGGTTAGAATTTTTAAGAAACAGCAAAGGATAAAAGAGAAATTCCAGACAGAATGAAGGCAATGAGTAGAAGGCAATAGAATCAGGAAAGCCAGGCATGTGTGGAGAACAACAATTAGAGATGGTTGACTGGAGGAGAGAATTTGATTAAGAGGTCACGGCCAAGTTGGGGCCAGACTGCAAATGGCATTGGCTTCCCAATCTGAAGGATCTGTATTAATTCAGGAGCCAATAGGATGTATAACAAAAGTCCCCCACTAACTTTCACTGTGCAACAAGCTAATTATGCTTTCCAATCTGGGATTCAGCTTAGGGGGGAAAAACAAGATGAAAAGAAAACAGAAACTTCCTAGAGATGAGGATTAGAAGAATAATTTGAACAATGGTAGAGAAAGTGAATCCTTGGTGGGCATGATTGTCATTGAACAGACTGATCAGAAGTTCTGGAGTGAGTTGAGAAAAAAAGAGAATAACAAATAGGGTAAGAGGAAAATGCTATATAGAATTTAGGGATGAGAGAGAAGAAAACTAATGTGGCTAGAAAGTGGAACATGAGTTTGACATCTTAGAGGTACAGCAGGTTTGAGTGGTGGCTAAGAAAGTGTGATATTTTAAGTAGTGACAGAGAGAATAAAGAGGGAGGTCATGGGGTTGTGTGAAGGGCGGTCACCACTGAACCCCACCACCTAGTGTATTACCAGGAATTAATAAACAAATATGAGCATAGTGTATTAATGGGTTCATCACCAGAATGGTAAACCCTCAGTGGCCAAGGACTCAAAGGAGATGCTGATGTCTCTATAGGTAGTGGGTAGCTCTCCAGAAAAACAAGTCATAATGAGAAATGGGAAAACCTAGTATAGAGAAACATGAGATGCAAAAGAAAATTACCTAAATAACAGTAGCAGAAAATATGAAGCTTCAGGGGGTCAGTAAGTTTATATTTCAATTCTCTCTTTCCCCTAGCAATGCCTGATGTCTTACCCAATAGTAACTTAAGGGGCATTTTTAGGGTTTTCAGCAAAAAGCAAAATCCCAGAATGCCCTGTAAACAAACAGAAGACTAGTCCACAGAACTATGAAAGAAAAGAAAGGCTGAGGGCCAACAGCCCATGAGAGGCCTGAGCTCAGGGAAACCCTCCACATGGCTCAGCAAAGCACAGAGCATCAGACAGAGGGGCCCCTGCACAGCTGACTGGGGCCCTCCTCAGCCTATCCACAACCTGCAGCTCTGTATCACTTTCTTCCCAGCTGCAGACTCTGGGTCCCAGGAGTTGGAGCTCTTAGCTGGTGTCTAATAAGTAACTCCCATTGATTTTCCAGCCCAGGGCCTCACCACCCCTCCCCATCAGCAGCTCTGGTTGCCAGCAGGCCTGGAAAATCACTCACACATCATTGGTGCTTCCCACCCCCCCTCCTCTCCCCAGGTGCATATAAACCCTGAAGAGCTGAGGTCTCAGAGCATGCCTCTCAGAAGCTGGGACAGCCACTGTGCTGCCTGCTGCCCACCCCTAGCCACTCAGCTGCTATAGCAGCCCCAGGCCAGGAACATGAACCAGCTGCTGCTCTGGGTTTCTGTCCTCACCAGCCTCCTGGAAGCCTTTGCTGCGACAGGTAGGGAGGTCAGTGGATAGTCCAGGAGCATCATGTGAGCAAAGAGGTTGAAAGTGGGATATTTTTCCCTGCATTTGTGGTGAAGTTCATTTTATTTCTTTCTTTATCCCACAGACCTCAGTGGGAAGGTGTTTGTGTTTCCTAAAGAATCCTCTACCAACCATGTGAGCTTGATTACAAAACTGGAGAAACCTCTGCAGAACTTTACCTTGTGTTTTCGAGCCTTTAGTGACCTTTCCCGTGGTTATAGCCTCTTCTCCTACAACACCCAAGGCAAGGATAATGAGCTACTAATTTATAAAGAACGAATTGGAGAGTACAGTTTATACATTGGGAGAAGCAGTGTGATGTGGAAAGTTATTGAAGAGTTCCCGGAGCCAGTGCACATCTGTGTTTCCTGGGAGTCTGCCTCAGGCATTGCTGAATTTTGGGTCAATGGAAGACCTTTAGTGAAAAAGGGTCTGAAGCAGGGTTACTCTATAGGAGCTCACCCCAAGATCGTCCTGGGGCAGGAGCAGGACAACTATGGGGCTGGGTTTGATAAGAGCCAGTCCTTTGTGGGAGAGATTGGGGATCTGTACATGTGGGACTCTGTGCTCTCCCCAGTAGAGATCATGGTAACTTATCAGGGTTCCCCAAACAATTCTAACATTCTGAACTGGCAGGCTCTGAACCATGAAATAAAAGGATATGTGATCGTCAAACCTCTCGTGTGGGTCTGATATCTTGAATCAAGAGCTCTTGAAAATGAAAAGGTCAACATCTAAGAGATCTCCAAGCAACTGGACACCAGACCCTACAGTTGTAGCTCTTTCTTCTTTGAATTTTCTACAAGCATGCCTGCAAAAATAAATAAATAAATATTGTGTTATGGTGCCCACCTTTGTCTTGTAGTTGTCATAATCCCATGGTACTTTCTCCTACATCTATTTATTTGGTAATTGGAGTTTTGTTATCCAGGAAAAAAATCAGCTTGTGAATATGGGGAAAGAAACCTTTAAGCAACTAGAAAGATAGATCACAAAGCCAGAAAACTCAATGGGTGGACAGTAGCAACACTTACAAGAGACTAACAATCATCTTAGTAATAATTCAAAGTAGGTGTAGCATTGCAACCAAAATTCTTCTATATTTTTCCCAGCTACAAATAAATCAAAAAAGAAAGGTCTGAGCTTGCACCAGAGAAACAACTATAATGAGATAAGTAACAGTTGAGAACCCGACAGTAAGTAATGAGACAGGAAGGGAAAAAAAAAAAAAACTAGACGAAGTAGGAATGAAACTAAAAATATATAAGAGACAGGGATCATTTTCTGTGAACACAAACATGCCTTTATATCTCAAAAATCTCAGTGGTACTGTACAGTGCTTGATTTTCATACTGCTGCCCTGATGTCATCAAGAAAATATTATATTCTGAATATTGTTCACAGGAGAGGTCTTTAAAGTCCTTCCATGGAGCCCCACTTCAGAATAGAATTTAAACTTCTTGATGTGACGTTGACCTCCATGCCCAGATTCCACTTTCTCTCTCTGAAATGGACACTTGGAGAACACACAGACTACTCGGAATAGTGCTCTCTATGTAACTCTCAGCACAGCAAGTGGTATCCTAATTATTACAACACTGTCTGAAGTTATCGCCAGTCGTTATTTTTGTCCTTATGAAAAAGCACAGTGCCTGGTGCAACCTCAACAGATATCAGTGGCCTCTCCAGAGAGGCAGAGACCCCAGGGGGTCTTTTCCCACCGCTAATGAATAGCTGGAGATATCAGACAAATCACATCCAGGACAGTTTCAGAAGGATAACCAAAGCGATTACTCAAAACTCATGACCATTATCCAGAGAGGATAGATCAAAGAAGGCACCAGATCAAAGAAGTCGGACAGAGCCTGGGAACTCCACCCGGGGCAATGAGGCAGAGAGGACCTGAGAAGATTCCCTGAGGAACTTCAGTGGAGGAGCAGCCGCTTTGTAAGGACATTGAACTTCATGTCTGGGGAGACGGTGCTGTGGTTTGGTTAGGTTTGTTTGCCCTCACCGAAGTTCACGCTGACGTTTGATTCTCAGTGTGGCAGCGTTGAGAGGTGGAGCCTCCAGGGAGGTGTTTGGGCTGCGGAGGCAGACCCCACCTCCAGACCCCAGTGCCATTCTCGCAGTAGCGAGTGCTCACTCTCGCGAGACTACATTACTTTACCCGGATGGATTCTTTCCCGCCACAGTGGGCTGTTATAAAGCCAGGCCGGCCCTCAGGTTTCTCTCTGTTTGTGTACACCCACTTCCCATCGACCTTCTCTGCCATGTTGCAACACAGTACGAAAGCCCTTGTCAGTTGCCAAGGGCATGTCCTTGAACTTCTCAGCCTTCGAAACTGTGAGCTAAATCAACCCCTTTTCTGTATATATTTTTTCAAAAGTTGAATAAGTATTTATTGTTCCAGATGGTACAGTGCATGAATTAATCTCATACTTTATCAAAATGTTTTCTAACGTATTTCCAGAGGACATCTGCACTGGAAAAAATCAAAGGAATTTGTGTCTAATACCCTGTTTTTAACTACTGTGGGGGCGGGATGGAAAGGATGATGGGGTTCTCCACACCACAGATTGGCTTTTTTCTTTCACGTGATTGATTCATCCTCTTTTCTTGATAAATTACCCAAGTCTCAGGAAGTGTTTTACAACAACACAAAATGGACTAAGACAGGTGGAAGCCATTTAGAACATCAAATTGGTTAGGCAGGGATTTTAGCAATGAGGGAAATTATTAGTTTCCAATTTTCTTCTCCTAAGTTAGGGCTTGTTTTACGCTTCCTTAATATTAACCACCATTCCAGAAACTTGTACTAGAAAGACCTCTCTATTCTTGTATAACAGATATTCCCACTAACAACATGTTGTTTGCACTAACATTTCATAGCCCCTTTGCCAAGGAATCTAAAACAAGTTTTAGAAATGAAGCCAGTGTATCATCCATTCATTCAACTATATATTGAATGATTATCATGTCAGGCACTTTGCCAGACACCAAAAATATAAGAGTAAGTTAAGCAATCGTTGTGCTTGCTTTTTTGTTTTTCAAATTAATATTCTAATAAATCTGTGTCACCTAAGTACAGACTCCTAATAATAACCAGCCTATGTTGTAATCCATCCCTCATAGGGGGCCTCTTTCTATAACAGGTCAATGGCACACTCCCCTTCCAACCCCACCTGAGTTAGAGGGATCTTTGATTCCTGGTGACCATTTGTAATTTCTTGCACATTATCTTGGGATTCAACGTTCACTTTGTTGCTCTTCTGAACCCTCTGTCCTACAAAATGATTCTTTTGGACAGAATCCAAGAGGACTACATGTCAGCTTTTTCTATGTGGCTCAGGTTTCATTCAAAAGAAACACTCCTACACCCTTTATCTCAGTCCTGGACATCCAGGGTGATCTTAACACAGACCACACTTTGCTGCTCCTATGGTGGTTGTAGCTTTCTCAAGTCCTGTGAGTCCCCCACTAGTAAGGAGCATATTTTAAGCTTTCTGAGTGATTCCACTGGGCTTGAGGTGAAGGAAACAGGAAGACCAGCAATTATCTTATCAAGCTGCAAGGAACATAACCCACTCCTCCCTCCAAGCAGCATCAGCAGCAAACAGCTCTTTGGAGAAGTTCTTTCCCATTTCCACCTTCCGTCTACTCTGTACCCCTTGTTCTAGCCAAGACGTACAAGAATCATGAAGCTGGTTTTTAATCCTTTCCTTTGTAAATTCTTCATCTGAGTGGATCTGTGCATGCTATTTTTATTATCTAATATCTATAATATCAATGATTCATTCAAAAAGAAATAAAGGAGAGTTCATCTGAACATTGCTTAAAATAGAAATGGTATTTCTGATAACTCAATTTGGGTATTTTTCTCAGCAAAGTCACAGAGGAAACTACTTAAGTGACTCAGAACATGGAAAGACCCAGAAGACATGATAACCCAGGAACATATTTGGATAGTGTCTCGGGAATGGCTTTGATAATTGCCACTTTCCCCATATTTGCCACTAAAGCTGGTAGAGCCTAGGAATAAGGAGTGTGCAGGATGTACAGAGCATAGCTAGAATAAGGAGTCATCTCTAATACAAAACCCAATTCTTGAGCTTCTATCTTGTACAAATCATTATCTGTGGGGGGTTGTTTTTTTGTTTGTTTGTTTGAGACAGTCTCACTATGTTGCCCTCAGTACAGGACCATGGCATCACAGCTCACAGCAACCTCCAACTCTTAGGCTTAAGTGATTCTCTTGCCTCAGTCTCCCAAGTAGCTGGGACTACAGGGGCCCACCACAACATCCAGCTACGTTTTGGTTGCAGTTGTAATTGTTGTTTGGCAGGCCCCAGCTGGATTCGAACCTGCCATCTCTGGTGTATGTGGTTGGCGTCTTAGCTGCTGAGCTACAAGCGCAGAGCCAATGATCTGGTTTTTATTTATGTAGCTCCATAAATACAACTAGGAGCATTTGGGTGCTGCTTTTACCAAAGAAGCCCAGAGGGATTTTCTGGATGACAGGGTTTGCTGTTAGTTCTCCAGGGGTTTTATGTGGGAGATTCAGGGTAAAGGTCTGAGGTTAAAGCAACCAGATTGCTTAGTTTGGGGTGTATCTTAGCTGAGACTTGAATTGGGGTGAGAATGGGAAATATTTGCCTCATCTGCACTAGAGAGTACATGTAGTCCCATTTGGAAAGAAACATGGAGAGTCTTTAGGTATTCCTGAGACTTCAAGGGAGTAGGTGTCTAAGATCACAGAAGAACAGAAGGAACAGTGAAACCTGGCCTGAGTTACCTTTAATCCTTATCTTAACTGGACTAAATAGCTGACTAGGTTATATGCTAAACTCCATTTGTGTGCCAGAATTTTTTATTTCATTTAGTCTGGCTGTGGACACTTTTCTCTGATTCAATATGGGTCCTGCCTGTGGACCTCCTCTGTGCACTCTGAGCAGTGGCAGAAGCATATGCCTCATGTCTCGTAAGCCACAGGTTCTGGAAGCAAAGCTGATCTCACACTACCGATGCACAGCTCTGAGCCCCGTGGTCTGGGAGGGGTTCTAATAATCTAAAAAGTCTGCCCTAGAACTAACTACTGCTGTGTTCACACCAAGGGAGACCCAAAGGCAAACACGAGGCCCTTCACCCAGACCTCTCGCTGC